TAAAATAAATTTCCATCGAACACATTCTAGTTTTCACTTTACTTTAGTAGTAGTACTAATGGTAACAGCAAATATTTAGCCCACTCTATGTGCTAGGCACACCCCTAAACACTTATATAAATTAATACACTTAGTGCTCACAACATCTCTGTGAAACAAGTACTATAATCAGCATCCTTTCCAGATGAGAAAACTAAAGCAGAGAGATTAAATCTTGTCATTAGGATGAGCTGTTAGCAAAGATTGAAGGATGAATTTGAACCCAGGCAGTCCAGCTCCCAAGTTCAGGCAGTGCTCCTAACCATTACTCCCACTCTTCTTATTGTCTGGGATATAAGCAGAGATTTGTAGCTCCAAAACAAGAAAACAAACAAACATGTTTCTCTACAGTAAACCTGTGGTAAATGTGGAAGGAACTACCCAACTCTCTGATGGGTGAAAAGGGGTTTAGTAATATAATACCATTACTTTCAGCACTTGCCATCTGAAAGTTACCCCATGACTTTTAATCTCACCTGAGAGTCCCTTAACTCAATATCTAGAGTGTCAATCGATTTTCCCCCAACACCTCTTTCGGCTAGAGAGTTAAAAGATGCTAATAGATTTGGGTTTCAACCACCCAAGATTATATTTTAAGTTGAGGCTTCTTACACTGTAAAAAACAAGACTGCCTACCTTTACAATTTTAACTATGCTGTAAGCATAATATTCTTATGTAGTAGATTCATTTCAAACAATGTAATCATGTTTTTATGAAACTGGGGAAAGTATTCATTCATTGACTAATCAAAATTAATTTAGTGCCTACTCTACAGGGCACTGTTCTGTGTGCTTGAGAAAAACAAAAATTCCATTCCTTGGATACTTATGTCATCTAAGTGTTAGACTTCCTGTGAAAAATAAAATTAGACTTTCATTTTAAGTTAAATCTTCTAAGCTTTCTAAAAATGCACTTGTGACCTAAGACCTAAGAAAGTGACTAGAGTAGAAATACTACACTCCAGCACAGAAGTCATGTGTTTATTACTAATACTAATACTAAATTACTTAAAATACTGATCCTAAATTATTGAAGGCTTTATGGATTTTCATTCTGGATTATCTAAAAACTTACTCATTTATTCATTCATTTGCTCAAAAAAATATATTACTACTTCATGACCAAACACTGTGCTAAGCCATTACCTAAAATTAAGGTTTTACATACTTTTTAATTAGAGTAATATAAAACAGGATAGAGCAGGCTTTATCTTAATGCAGTATACATAAGTTTTTTTCACATAAAAGTAATAAATGTTGGGTTTGAGTACCAACTCCTCACTCAAGAAATATAACTGAAAACCCAAGCGCATCCTGTATTTAGTGTCTTCCTTCTTCAGAAAAACACGGGTTATTATTAGATTTCCAGGGCTCCAGACCATCAACCAACTCTAAATTCTAAGAGTTAGGTCAAGATCTCATGAAGTACATGGGTTCAGAGTTATCTTTCCAGAATCTACAAACACATCATAGATACAGACATATCATTGATTCATGCCTGGCCTACACTTTTCTGAAAGTTTTTTCCAGAGTATATTTTGCATTTGTTAAATCCCTTTAAAAATCAGTCACAACTGTCCCCTTGTCCCATGGAGCAGATGCTGGCCAAACTCATCCTAAATTTGGGTGACTGGGAGGGAGGTGCCAAGGGTATCCAAGCCTCTATTTGTAGGAGTGATCTGAATCAGGGAAAGATCCTGCAGGAAGCTTTGAGTTCAAGTATCCAAAGCTCAAACCGAAAGAGCAGAACATGGAGTCTAGTTCCGTGCCTGGTCAAACCAGGCTTGATCCCCATGGAGAAAGGGGCATTCTCATTTGCACATGGATTATGATGAGGATCCTGCTCTGTGAGGAGGAGTGAAGAAAATACAAGGCTGCTGGACCCCCAGGGCCTTGGAGCTTGGGAAGCATTGGGGGACAGCACCTAGGGCAAAGCAGCCTTCTTGAAAAAGGCAGCTGCATGGCCTGGGAAAACAAAGATGCAGACGGAAAGTGGCTGCTGTGATACAGAACAATGTGAAAATTCCAGGGACACCCAGAAATACTCTGGAAGTGGGGATTTGCAGGGAACCAAGGGGTACTTGAGCAGATCAGGGGCAAGCCAGACAAATGTGGCCACATTGCCAGTGTGTCTTAATTCCCACAGGATGGAGAGGACTTGGACATCAGCATTTTCTTAAAACTGGCTAATTTTTGCCATTCTCCCTTCATTTTCCAAATAAAACAAACAAAGCCTTCCTCTCTCCCGACTTCCTTCTTCTGGACAAGGCAATTTATATTTTTGCAATGTTCACTCTTCTCCCCAAACCCACCTCTACTCCACTCCTCAGTTCCCTGACTTCACTCAAAAACTGAATATCCCTTGCCCCATGATGACCGTGACTATGGGTACCTGGCTCAGGAGGATGTTTGCTTCTCCCTTGTCCTTTGCCCCTCTCCACCAGCAGGTACTTATTATTTACAAGTAATAAATGCTGGGTTTGAGTACAAAGACTTCACTCAAGAAATATAAATATTTCTCTCTCAAATAAGTAAAATCTTTAAAAATAATAATAAATAATAATAAAATAAAAATGGACATATCCCTTTACTCCGTTCTACCAGCTGGCTCACCTGTCCTCAGTAGGTTCCACCAATCTCTTTCTCCACTCATGGACCCTACCCAGTTTAAACCTCACTCGCAATTTGACTTTGTTTTCACAATACCTGCCACTCACCTAAGAACTTAGCAACACTTATAATCTGGTACAGACTTTTTGGCCAAATATCGCTTCATATAGTCAGAGAATGCTAGCTGCAATGTCTAGTTCTGTTGGTCTCAGCCTACTGATAGTGATGCTATTGACCTGAGTGTCTTAAGGCCCTCACCTGAGCCCTACAACTCATAGTGGCCCCCAGAGATGTGCCTCCTATGGAACAAGTGATGTGGCTGGACTGACCCTTGTGGTTCTTACTGTTAACCATCAGGAAACTTAGAAGGACAAGACTTACTACTCACAAGTAAGTCCTGTAGCAAGGGAGAGGAACAGAGAGAAAGTACAAACCCGGGGTTCCGCCTTTATTAAGGTTGAAGGTAGTGTACCTACAGTTTCTTGGGTTCGCTCTTTATGGGTGAATTTAAGACCTAAGAGCAGGAATTAGGGCACAGGAAGGGAAATCACTAATTCAAGTGATTAGTTATCTATGTTAACCACAGAGAACTTTCTAAAAGGGAAACTTTGGAGGTGGAGTGGCCCATTTTTTCTCTAGTTGTTTTGTTAGTAGCTGTGTAATACAGATGGCAATTCATTTATTTGAGAGGACTGTCTTTGAAATGGATGTACTGGCAATCAAAAGCTTAATGACTGCAAAATTGGGTGAACATGTGCCCCTGAGCCTGGCATTCTGGCCCCAGAAACATCGTGCCTTAGCTGAGAAGATGAAGCAACTTGAGGAATTCTTGAAGGCGTGTGCATCAGAGCCCCCGACTCCAATGCATCCTGTTGCATAAGTATTTTCAGGAGCATCAAGGACTTACACTGTAAGTCAGAAGAGAAAACAAAAGTCCAAGAGTAGTATGATGGAGTGCACACAGCCAGAACTAGTGCTGAGAACCATGCCCAGGCCTCGTAATTTCACCAGCAGTATTCCTTACACAATTCTGCGACGGTCATACAGCACAGCTCTTCCTGAAGGAGGCCAAAGAAAGCAAAGGGGTACAGGTTCTGGAGCTAGACTGCTGGAATCAGAACCCCAACTTGCACATTTATAAGCCGTGTGACTATGAACAAGATCCCTAACCTCCCCAAGGGTCCGTATTTTCACCAGTTCAAGTATTAACAATGGTGCAGTTTAAATAAGATAAGCCAATGTGTGAAAGCAGCTACACAAGGAGGCCATTAGACCAGAGTGGCTCTAAGGCCTTGAGAGCCTACATGAGCAAACTGAAACCAAAGCCAGAATCAATGTACCCCAGCCCGAGAAAATTAAGAACAACCAACCACAGCGCTCAAGAAAGGCAGCTGTCTAAACTATAATTTCCTTGCTTTGCTTCCACATCTTCTAGAAAGAAACCTTTCCCCTAGAGCCTGCTCATGAGCTGCTCCCAACCATTCTCAGTTTGAATCAATGTTTGCTCAAACCCCTCATCGACGACATCGGACCCTTCTGTATCTGCCCGCTGCTACCGCTACTTCTTTACACATCTTTTCACACACGTTGTTTTAGGGACTCTGCACATCAAATAGAAAACTGATACCAGGTCTAACCTGAAACGCTGACTCACCTCAGCAGGTGGAGGAAAAGTCATTCTGATGTCTTGCCAACTAGTCTCTTCATTCATTTCCTTCTTTGGCTCCTTACGTTTAAAAAACAAAAAGGGCAGAGTATAGTCATGGACTCAGATACCTTTTTCAATATTTACACCTCCTAAAAGGCAACTGCACTACAGTTTTCCTCTGAGGACAGAGAAGGTGAAGGACCGACTTTTCATCAGTGACCCTGGCGAATGCACCAGAAGGGCCAACATCACAAACGGGCACTTGAAGAAGCCATTTTTCTAGACGCCAAGTGGTAGTTCTCACGTGAGTCTGACCACGTGGTCCGAAAAGCCCTAGTGAGTCTGCGCACACGCCCCCCCCCCACCACGTATCGGGCGTGGGGTGCGCAGGCGCACGAAGACAGTGCCTCAGCTGCTGCCTGCCGTTGGAGGCCCGCGTGGCCTGAGGAGCCTGAGGGCCTGCTGGGTCCTGGGCTCCTTGAACCTTCAGTGATGCTTGCCAGGCAGTGTCTGGTGACCTGGCCCTGAGGACACTACCCTGGAGATCTGCCTCTTGATCCGGGCCTGGGCACTGGCAGAAGGACCTGGACGGGGTGCCGGAGGAGGTCTCCTGGGCGAGAGGACCATCCAGCGCGGGGACTCCGCCCCCTGAGCCTGAGCCTGGACCTGGACCTGGACCTGAAAGGGCATAACTCGATCCTTAGGACCTTGAACAAGTACAATGAAGGGTAATGATGTCGCTTTGCTTTCGGTATTTCTTAAGTGTTAAAAGCCGAAAAGGGTCGCAGAGACAGAATTCGGGCCCCCCTACGTTCCCTCTTCTGCCCCATCCATCCTTGTGCAGACGCTGGGCATCAACCACCCGCTGTGCGCCCAGTCCAGTCCACTTCACCAAGTGTGAGTCCGTCAGTCGCAGCCCAGGACTAGCCCTGGACATACGGAAATGAATTCCTTGGGTCCCAGGAGGTGACACTGCCTTGGGACCCAGACCTGATCATTCAGAGTTAGGTAGACAACACTGTGATGGAGTGTAGGGGAGCAAGGAGAGGAGTACTAATAGACTCTGGGGGAGAGGAGGCTTCCCCAAGAAGGGTGCTGTTGGAGCTATTAGGGCAGAAACCCCGGGAAGGGCCTGGGATGAGGCCGAGAAAGTGGGCAGGGAACAGCTCATGAAGGGCTTTATGGGCCCTGCTGAAGAGTTTGAACCTTATTCTGAAGACAGGAGTTGCATCCCTGCTAAAGATGGAGAAGTGGCTTCTAGACATGAGCTCTCGGGGACTGTTTCAGAATTTCTCTGTCTTAAGGCAAGCGTAAGGAATGAGGATAGGGTTGGGAATGAGGACTAGGGGCTTGTTCTGCAGCTGCTTTTTGATTAGTGATGAAAGCACCAGAGGATAGAAACAAATCATTAATTTCTATTTTTTATCTTTTTTTTTAACAAAAATGAGATACTTCATTGGGTTCTAGAGTAACTGACTATAGAATGTTTTTCTAAAAAATTCTAACTGTCCTTTATTCCAGAAACAATACTGTAGATTTCTTATTTTCTTCCAACATTTAAGCTAAAGATTTTTAAACACACACACGATCTCTTTTTTCATGGTATGTCAATGAATACTTCACCTGGGTTGGTTTTGGTGGGGGCCTGAAGGAGAGAGACTATAGGATGCTAAATATTCTACTCCTGGTGCTTCCACTATCAGCTGTGAGAATTTTTATACATAAAGAAAAGGACTAATTATTTTTTATTATTTTCCTTTTTTTCTCAAAATGACACTAGCAATCTAGATAGGACTTCCTCATTACTTTATATATAAATTCTGTAATTCTGTGCCTTTTATTTGAGCACGACAGAATGATTAATCTTGGTTGCCTTTAGGCCCCTACACTTTCTTTGGTATTTCTCAAAGGTGCCGTTTAATATATGAAACTTATTATTTATACTTAAGTTGTTGTACTTAACATATTGTTTTCTCTACTGTCAATAGCTCTTATAGTCTTACCTAGCTTTTTTCTGTCTCTGTAGTTTATAGAATTAAGAGACATTCAGAAAATCAATTTTAGAAACCAAAGACACATTAAAATAATCAAATCATGAGATTTTAAGGGTACAGGGAATGAGAGTTCATTTACTCAAACCTGTCTCTCAAAAGGACCAAGATTCAGGGTTTAAGATCATCCATTACATTATCACCTAAGTGGCATGATTCATGTTATTCACCTAAGTGTGACATGTTAGAAGATGTAGAACAATGTAATGTCAGATCCACAAAGGATACAGTTATTAGCCAGGTTTTCTGAACACCAGGGAGAAATGCAGAAAAAGGGAGGGCGAGAGGGGAAAAAACAATAATGAAAGAACTCCCAGAAGAAGCCTTTAGTGGGGAAAAAAGGAAACAATAACAACAAAAGAACTCCTAGGAGAATCTTGAGGATTGTGGAAGCAACTTTGGTAAGTTGTCTGATGGTAGAAAAAGTTCTTTCATATAAAGAACTAGATAGCAAGTATGTGACAGAGAAAAAAAATCATGAGCCCATGATGAATTTAAGTATAAGAACTTGGTTTTGAAACACAAACATGGCATTATGAATTGCATTGAACTCATTATGAATTGCAAATAAGTTGTTAAAAGCTTTACTGAAAATTCTCTAACATTGTTTCCTAAGTGTTCTATATATTTTATCATCCAGGGCCACTGCTTACTACTCAGAGAAAATAACTGAAATATGCCTATACTTTTTAGTTGTAAGGAGAGGCTTTTCACTTATGGAGGCCATTATTCAGAACAGGTAGATGCCAGCTGATGCCTCTACAAAGTTAGGCACAAAAAGAAGAAAACAATTGCTTCAGAGTGTGGGAGGTGGTTGTAAAACAGTGGGAAAAAAATCAAACTTAAGTATTTTCTTCTGAGCAATGTGTGTATATGTGTTTTGTATTGTTTTGTAGAAGTTTGTTAATAAAAATTTCACCAAAGATTAGAAGCATAATCATCTAGAGGAAATGCTGGTAGTATGGCTCGATGTGTATGTTCAAAACTCTCTGCAGCAGATAGTCTTACTCTAGGGGTAAGTAAGACTTCAGTTTGACTAAATTCAGGAATATGTACTACTTCAATTTACTAAGGATTATTCTTGAATCTGAGAAGGGGCATATTTGGTTAAGTCAAAGGGTAAAAATGGGTTTAAGAAATTGTTTTTGAATATAGTTGACACACAATGTTACATCAGTTTCAGGTATACAACATTGTGATTCAACCTCGCTATACATTATGCTCTGCTCACCACCAGCAGAGGTAGCTACCATTTGTCACCATACGATGCTGTAACAAGATCATTGACTGTATTCCCTCTGCTGTACCTTTTATTTCTGTAACTTGTTCATTCCATAACTGAAATCTCCCTGTATCTCCCACTTCCCCTCACCCCCCCAAAATTTTTTTAATACTGATTGTCTCCTACAAATTTTGACTGATCTCATGTCTCTTCATACACAAATATGTGCTTATATATAAGCATACTGACTAAACCAATATACATAGGGTGCTAGAGAAATCCCAAAAAGGAATAAAAGAAAAAGACGTGTTGTTTTTTTTAACTGGAAGAGGGATCTCTTGTTGATCTCTTTCTATTACTGTACTGATTTCTATGTGATAGAATGATTATTAATTTGTCTCTTCAATTATAAACAGAGAGCTTAGCTATCTCTTAGTAACACCAAGGAATTATGAAGATCATGCTCTTTCCCATCTGAAAGAGAAAGAACTTTTCTACTGGATGTGAACTTTTCCTTTGAACTTGGCCGCTGTGTAGATTGTCTCCCATCTGACTGTTCAGCTGAGGTTCTTAATCTCTTGGGAGTCACAGACCCTTTCTGACATAGGAAGGAAGCTCTGAATCTTCTCCCCAGCTTCATACACATATTGTAATCCTTTGCATTCATATTTTTGTGTGTGGGGAAGAGGCCTATGACCTCCTGAAATGCCATTTGTTGGCTCTAGGTTAAGAACAATTTTTAAATAAGAAAATCCATCTTGTTCTTCTCCACATACTAGCAGCTTTGCTTTCTAATATGGCTACTAGGATATTTCATAGTATTATATAGGACAGCCCCAATTATAAAGGGAGACACTACTTTTCAACTTCACTTAAGAGTTGGGAAAGTCAAATGGAATTAATGTCCTTCATTCTGATGTGCTTATTCAAGAGATATTTACTGGGTTCCCGCTTGTAGAGGTTGGTGACAACAGTGAGATAACTAAATTCAGTCTCTCAAGGATTTATCTATCTAGTAAAGATATTCTGCCAATCAAATCCAAAGAATCTCTGAAGATAATGCCACTTTTTCAAATTCAGTGCAGAGGAAATCTAAAATCTAAATGTATAAAAATGGGCAAGATTGTTACTGAAAAAGTAACAATGGTCTTTCTATAAAGAGAATTCTCTAAAATGTATCTTTAATATTAGCTGATTGCATTTATGTATTTTTAGACTACTTGCTTTATAAGGAGCTGGAACTATTAAAGCATTAAATAGCTTCCTGTTAAAGTTTATATTCAAGTAAAAATAATATTACCTCCGAAATTTTTACTTTTATTTGTTTTAATTAAGTAGGCTCCACAACCAACATGGGGCTTGAACTCATGACCCTGAGATTAGGCATCACATGTTTCACTGACTGAGCCAGCTAGGTGCCCAATCCTCTGAAATTTTTAAAGCGTAATTAAAAATGTGACTCAGTACATGAAATATCAGTTCACATATAAATTGAGAAATAAATTTACTGGCACATATTTTTTTGGATTATAGTTATCTTCTTAAAAATTAAAGTTGAGTAATAATTCTCCCCTCCACCAAACTTTCCCCTATCCAATAGGAAGACCTGGTATAAGCAAGTCTACACTGGATATTCTTTGTATCTCTGTGTTGGATTGTACCTCACCCAAGCATGCTTGTGATAAAGATACATAACAAGTATGCCTTGGAGGCAAAGGTAAACCTTTAAAAGATGCAAAAAGTGTTTCAACCTTATAATTACTAATATACAAGAACATATTGGATAAATGGCTTCCTGCATCCAAATAGAGTAGTAACCATATTTTCCCCCAGATACGTTCAGTATTCTCTTCTCATGCCATTGCTTGATAGGTAGAAAGGATAGCAGTAGTAAGAGATTGTCAACTTTTTTATGGGAGAATTGACTAGAATTATTATTGAACAGTATGATGCTCCAAGAATGGCTGATTCCTATTTGGTAAACCTCAGTACTTCCTGGTTAGGGCTTGCTTTTTGGGTCTAACCAGTCCAGAAAATACATGGTAAGTGCATTCCTATTTAACTTTTATCTTTCATAAAGTATTGAATATTTCTTACAGTTAACATTTATTGGAGCTATGTTATAAATTACATGGTTTTGGTACTAATATCATTTTCTTCTCACAGGCTGTCCAGATTATGATTGGCATATTTCATGTTTTCATGTGGTATTTCCTATTGATTTTGTATATGGGACAAATTAGAGGAGTCTTTGGGACGTATGAACCTATAACTTACAAAGCAGGATGTTCTTTATGGGGAGTTATTGTGAGTAGAATATATTTATGATTTAATCATTCAGTAAATACTATTCATGCCACTAGTGGAAGATAGGGAACAGCTTTTAAACAGAGATTTCAGGAGAATTATGTAAGTAAATCTCATGTTGGTAATTTATTCAAAATCAAATTCCTTTTTCAACACATGTTTCCTTAGTACCTTTAACTTACCAGGGTTATTACAAGAGATGTGGATACACGAAGGAATACACAATGACAACCATAGGTTGGATTGACTTTATATATGTGAAAGACAAAGAATCTTAACCATAATATCCATTAGCATGGTTAATTTTCATATTTAGGGTCTTTACCTTCTTCACACAACGAGTCTATATTCACACATTTTCTAAATTTGTCATTACTTGCATTCTTCTGTGGTTTCTAGACAGCCATAAGGTAGTAGGAATAGTTGAAGAGTATGGCATCCTCAAAGCTGAGCAAACAAATAGGGAAAGATAAACTATATTAAATTCTGTTATTTTGCCAAATAAGGCTGAGAATTGACCATTGGAGTTAGCAATGTGGAACCCAGCCATAAACTTGACAAGTAGTTTCAGTAGAATGGTGAGGCAAAACCTGACTGGAGTTGGTTTAAGAAATAATGGAAGGAGAAGAACTATAGAGACAGCAAATAAAAGTCCTTGAAGGACTCTGATGTAATGTGGCATTGAGAAATGAGGTAGTAGAGGGAGGAAGTTTGGGTCAAGACAAGGTTTCTTATTTGTTTCCATAAGTTGGAAGTATCAAAAGTAAGTCTTTTATGAGGGGACTGAACCAGAAGAGCGAAAATCAATATGAAATAAACGGAGAAAAGGAGGGATTAATAGAATCCTGCACTGGGGTAGTCAAGAGATGATGTTTTTTAATACACAAATACTTGGGTTCATGGACAGTTCATGTCTAGCAGTGGATCTCAACTAGAGGTGATTTTACCCCTTAGAGGACATTTGGTGATGTCTGGAGACATTTTTGGTTTTCACAGCAGGGGTGGGCATCTAGTAGGCAGAAGCCAAGGACATGCATAAATATCCCACAAAGTACAAGATAACCCTCATAAGAAAGAATTATCCATCTTTAATGTAAATAGTGCCAAGGTGGGTAACAGGATAGAAAGGTAGAGGAGCAAAGAGAAAGGACAAATTTTGATAGGTAGGTAGATGGGATATTGGGAGCTTGTGGAACTTCTCTTCCTATGGCTTCACATATCTCCGTGAATTAGGAAGCCAGATCATGGGCTGAGAATGAGAATTGGATAATGAACTGGTTGTTTGAAGGGAGGGTTTAAAATAGTCATCTAGAAAAAGAGAGCATATGCACTGTAGAAAAGTAGTCTGACTTCCACTAAGATAAAGAGCTCACTTAAGCTTTAGGAACAGGGTATGTGTAGTGAGATGTGGGTCAAATGGTTGTGTGTCTTTCTCAGGTCCCATTTGGCTGCATGGGTTCAGGCATTCAGTGAGAAGGAAAACTGCATTTAATCAGAATTTGGGTTTAACCGTGCATCTGTGATCAAACAAGAATGTGCAAAGGAGTTGAAAGTGTATATAAGTGAGTGTAATAGTTAACCATGGAATTTAAACTGGTGAAGGAGAGAATATAACGGAAGTGAGGGGCTTGATCATAGATGCAGATGGGTTCAAAGGATTGTTAAAGTTGGGATACTACGGAACCTGATGTAGAAAGATAGAAACTAGTAGTCCTAGTGGGATACTCGGAATTGAAATTTAGAAGATGACATACTTATTGGCAGAAACAAACACAAGAGAATGAATATGGGAGTGAGCGACCGAGATAAGATGGGGGCTGAGGATTAGAGAAGAGAAATTCAAAGAACTGTAAGACCAAGGTGTTAGAAGGATCACACACACACACACACACACACACACACACACACACACACCAAGGTCTAAGAAGTGTTAGAGAGTAAGACAGGAATTAAAATCACCAAGACTAGAGTGACCAAATCAACTTCAACCAGGCTAGATAGTGGGTGATAGAATCTGATGACATTTGATTCAAAGCTGGGGGAGAGGCAAGCATTGGAAGTAATAAGGAGCAAGGAGACCACTTACCCACAGTTAGAAACAGTGGTATAAGGGCTGTAAGAGAAAATGGCCACCACTTGAGAGGGCTCCAGAGAAAGCAGTGGCCTCTAGGAGTTCCTCTTTCTTTGTACATTGGCTCACAAGGGTCAAAGCATTGCTTTAGAAAACAATAGTGAATTTGCAGACAAAATCCAGATAAATGATTCATGTCCCTCAGTGTTTAATTGCACATGTTATAAAAATAACGTGTGTAGCTCCTAGAATAAATTATCTAAAATTTCAGTTAAATTAAATCCAGTGGAAAACTCTCATAAACTTTGAAAGGCATTTTGTGAGGCACATGGTTTGCTAATCTAGCTACAGAGCACTCTAGTTTGTAATTCAACTCATACTAGCTCTTCCTCTCACTGTGTACCTCCTTAGAAATCTCAGCTTTTATTACAGAATGAAGTGCTGTGTGTGTAAATTAGTACACACTAATTTATCCTGGAGGAGTTAGTAAGCTTTAAGATTTGGTCTCCCTATAAATGGTATAGCATGAATGCTGTATTTCCACAGATTATTCTTTGATTTAGATCTTTGTGAAATTAACTAAAATGGATAGGACAAAAGGAATGTTCCAAAGGAATTATGCAGCTCACCTCCAAACAATATGGTATAACTTTACACTTATGGGAAATAATCAAAGTAACCTGGTATGAAATAATGGAAACTCTTAAAAAAAATACAAAAACATGAGTTACAGTTGTTACTTAGTAATGGCCACAGTCTCAAGAGATATAATTTGTACAAACACAATTTGGAATAGACTCATGAACCACTTTTCACATTTGGATATGCATACAGTAATTGCAATCAGTGGAAGGATTATTAGGAAGGATAGCATTTGAAATGATAATCAGATGAGTTCAGAAAGCAGGCAAAGATATAAGCAAACTTGGCTCCTGATTCGGGACTCTTTAAGTCATCTTTGGGTTATACCACAACCTGAATTCTGCCCACTGTCCCTTATGTTTCTGTGATTAGTGACACGGCTATTAGCTTTCAGTTCATGACTATATGATGGAAACTTGTCCTGACCCCTTCTACTGAAACTTCTTTATATCTTGTTACTCTTAGTATTCTAAAAATAACAGACGTGGAAGAGGGGTTGTTAAAAATACATCTTAAGTTGATGAGCATTATCAATGAATATTTATAAATATGTTTTTATATGCAGTTTATCATTACAGGAGTCTCCATAATAAGAGCAGTAAGGCATCAGACTCAAGGCGTGGTAAGTGAAGATGCTTCGGTTATCCTAGAAATCACTTGTCACAAAACTAAGTAGATTTTAGTGAGTATCTGAACAATGAAGGAATTTACCTTACTTGTAAAATAAAGAATTAAGTGAAAAGCTAGGAACACATAACTTAATGTAGACAAACTTTCTATATTAGAATCATTATGTAAATGTTCTAAATTTAATATAGGGTTTTTTGGTTTGGTATTCTACCTTATTTTAATATTGTATAAACTTTACTAGTAGACAGAATTTAATAGAACCTAATAAAGCCTTTATATATAGATATAATATTACTATAAAACTTCATTTTCTTATTGGGTTTGAGAACAGTATTATATCTTATATTAAAATAGAGGATCTGTCCAGAAGATCCATCCATGGTATAGGTAAAATACTGGAAAGAAAAATATCTTAGACTCTTAGAGTTAAGAAATCAGTGAGTCTGATCTCACAATTATACAGATAAAAACATATCCAAAGATACTGATGGATTCCCCTAGAGAATGAAAATCCTAGATTAAAGATCACTGAATCTTCTTTGGCTTATTTCTATAAGTAGTCATTTTCCATCTTTATTTTTGTTTCTTTTTCTATTTTATGGTGGATCTCCTTTTGTTCAAATCCTATCTTAACAATCTTTCTTCCAAATGACTCAGAAGATTGTAAAATACAACACTTTTTAGCCCAAATGGAAGATTGATACTTATTGATGTGATAATTCACCGTTCCTTCCAGATTAGTTGGGTTTCATGTAAACGAGGAAAATATTTTATCCTAGTGGCAAGCATTCCAGACCTCTAAAGCTTCAGAAACTAGATCAGAGTTCTGACGAAATGATTTTTTTTTCGGCAATACAAACTGTTTAACCTAAGTGTTTATTCAGAATATAACAAGCTTACCATGTATCTTCTTTTCAGATTACATTTGCTTTTATCATGAACATCTTCTGCATAATTGTTGCAGTTATTGCATCAATTCTAACAGCAATTGAGTTGTCTTCTTTTAATTCCGTGTCCTATAGGAATTATGGACAAGCAGTAAGTGACCCAATTCTTTAGGAACATCTTAAATTTGAACAATTCTCTTCCAAGGTTTTAAAGCCTTTGGAAGTAAAATAAGGCTTTTATTAGTCTTTAAGAAATTTTTTGTTTTAAGTAGTAAGCTCTTGATTGAAAGTTTCAATTCCAAAGTAATTCTAACAAGATTTTTTGGTAAATATTAATAGAATGTTTGATTTCCTGACTACCCAATTAAAATAAAGCAAGTAGATAATGTGAAGGCTTCAGTGATAAGTGTATATGCATTAGGCATAGGGTCACTGATGAGTCTCTTAATGAAATAAAAGCATATCCTAGACCTTAAAACCATTCCCAAAATCAACAAAATAATTCTGCAACTGATGCATACATTTAGAATTGTAGACACCTGGTCATTTCTGGTTTAACACAGAGCTTTTCATACACAGCCAATTTTTTTTGAGATTTATTTATTTATTTATTTATTTATTTATTTTAGAAAGAGAGAGAGCACACAAGTGGGGGGAGAGGGAGAGAGAGGGTCCTCAAGCAGACTCCCTGCTAAGTGTGGAGCCCAAGGTGGGGCTCTATCCTGAGACCCTAAGATCGTGACCGGAGCCAAAGTCAAGAGTCAGATGTTACCAGCTGAGCCACCCAGACAGAGCTTGTTTTTGTGTCTCACATGAATTTTGCTTTATGTAGTCAAATGTTAAATGTGTGTGAATCTGTCTTGTTTCGATTTAATTAAATATCCAATCACATACTTTGTACCAGAGAAATAACTGTATTTCAATTGTGTTCGCTTTAAATTCAGAATTATAGAATATTAGTGCTGCAAAAGACTTTCAAATGAGAATATATTAGAGTAGAGCTCCTCTTTATTATTGAATAACAAAACAAAAAATAGCAACTTGTAAGTTCCAATTCAAAAATAATTCTAATGAGAAGACTCATTGTAGATGAGGCATAATCTTCCTGCTTCCCCTATCTCAACTTTCCTCTCTCTATACCTGCACTGTATTATAAAGGGACCATCAGTGGAGGGAATCCAAGCATGAAAAACAAAAACCTAGAGAACAATGAAAGGATGAGAGAAGATACAATAGTACCCCCAAATGGACTGTGTGTAATGATTGATTTAAATAAGTATGCATCAGATTTTCCCTATACATTTTAAGAAACTCTCCATTTTCCCTAGAAATTCATTCTGGGAATCTTCAGTTTTAATTCTGGTGGCAGAGATAAGGAGGAATAATTAGGTTATTAAGTGAAGGATTATATCAAATTATTTAGTTGACCACTCTTATTCACAAGCTTATAATCATCAGTTTAAGATAATAATGACATAATTTCCAGGACTCACCTTTTGTAAACACCATTACAAACCATTGTAGACTGTATTTATCTGAACTCAATATTAATGATCATTTTCATAGTCTCCCAAATGCACAAGTTTCATTTTTGTTTGCAGTGATCAATTACATGAATGAACTTATATATTAGACCTACATCTCTAACCCACAATCTTCTCTTAGAGGCATTACAGAATACTATTCCTGCATTTACTAAGGCACCAACCTTTTACAAGATTTGCCACATGACAGCTTTTCTAATAAAAACGAGCTGTTTGGCTAAACCCATAAACTCATCAAGTTATCAGTGTGCCCAGGTAGGTTCAGCTATCCCAAAAAGTGCATGTCTCTGAAACATACTTCTCTTATAACAAAATAGTTGATAATCTAAATCCAGAACCAGCCTGACTTTATCTAAACACTGTCTTCAGTACTCACTGTCAGTGACCCTGTGGACAAGTTTCTTAACTTCCCTGTTCCTTAGTTTCTTTTTTTTTTTTTAGTTCTATTTATTTATTCATGAGAGACAGAGAGAGAGACACACACAGAGAGGCAGAGGCAGAGGGAGAAGCAGGCTCCCCAAAGAGCAGGGAGCCTGATGCAGGGCTTGATTCCAGGACCCTGGGATCATGACCTGAGCAGAAGGCAGATGCTTAACTATCTGAGCCACCCAGGCGCCCTTGTTCCTTCTTTCTGTGTCAATAGAGAAAGTGCTAACACATACCTATTAAACTGTTTATCTACCAGACTCCAGGCCTGTTACTCTTTTATTTTTTATTTTTTCAATTGCTGCTTCATTTTCTTTTTTTAATTTTTTTATTATGTTATCTTAGTCACCATACAGTACATCATTAGTTTTTGATGTAGTGTTCCATGATTCATTGTTTGCATATAGCGCCAGCTTGATGTTTCCACTTTGATATGCTTCTGTTGTCACCATCTCAAATTCAACAGATATAAAACAAAATATTTGCCTCTCAAAAGTACTATGCTGCAAAACTCCCTTATTTCAGCCTCTAAAGCTGAAAACCTTGATGTAATCCTTCACCCTTCTCTCTCCACTATCTTCCCAAATACCAATTACTGTTTATTATTTACTTTAATTTTTATTAACTAGGGCTCTCTTCGTTATAATTGATAGGAAATACAACCCAAATCGACTTAAGCAAGAACAGGGGCACTTACTGACTTCTGCTGCACTCAAAGGCTTAACTCAGTCATTCTGTCCGTGGTTTGCCTGTTTGAACTTCGCTGGCAGCTCTCTTGCTATTTACAGGGGCAGAATTTAAGAATAACCCTAACATATACAAGTTAAGGAATGTGGACAAAATGACTTTTTACAGTCTTGGCAACAAAGAGGTCACCAGTACTTCCCAGCTAAAATGCTACTATTATTGTGTTTCTGCCAACAAAATTAAATCATAATTCTGATAAGGTAACTTGATATTTCAAACCCTCTATAGTATTTTCTTTATCTTCCTGTTATTATCATACACTCCCTATACCTGAGTTATACTGAGTTACCTGAGTTAAACTCGCTTTATCATTTTCTTAAAACATGTTCATTCTTCCATGCATTTTTCCCCTCACATTATCAAACATTGGTCATGTGATACTTATTTTAGCTTTATTATTTTTCTACTTTTTGTCTCCATTAATTATTTTATCACACTTTTAATGTATGCTATTACATTTTTTCTAGAACAAGTCACAAAAAAACTAGTAAATGAGAATTTAAAGCTGCCTAGAATGTTGCTTCTCTCCTTTGTTTCTTGGTCTTACTCTTATTTGTAATGTCTTGCCTTTTATGAAGACTTCCTGGATACGAATGGCTTAGGGCAAACTTCCTGCCCCTAAAATTCCTGAACAAGTTTTTATCCATTCTGACATATTTGACCTTATTATATGTTATTTTATATTATCTTTCTGTCTTTTCTACTTGAATATAAACTTTGAGAAAGCAGGAATTTTTTGTCATCTCATTCTTACCATATACTCCCTACCACCTAATAGTTTCTTGCATAAAAGATATTAAATAAACCCAACAAAAACAGAAGGAGGAAGAGAAAGAATTGAAGGAGAGAGATTGTAATGTTATTATTTCCAGGTCTGAATCATTCTTGTCTTTCTACAGCCAGCACAAAAACTACATTTATTTTCAGGATTGGAACCAATATCATTCATCCTGATATGTAGTTGAAAATATCTTTCTGATTGCAGTAGAAGGGATCTGCTTTATTATTCCAGCAAAATCATAGTCACTCTTTATTTTCAAGTGAGATGTTGTTGTTTGAGGATTTACTCATCCTTCCACATCATGCTACAGCAATTTCTATGTAAGATTTTTATCACCACACATACAAATTTAAGTAAGTCTGTAATTAATAACAGTTGTTTTAATACATGAGAATTGCTTGATAAAATCTCTTAATAGCCATCTTATCACTGGAGACAGAGAGTCAAATCTTACAGACCTAAGAGCTTGGATAGATGTCAGGGATGGCCAGCAATCCCTCTGCAGACAGTTGAAAGATTACTCCAGACTTTGCCATGAAAGAGACGAGGCAAGGGGGTCAGCGCTCAGAGACAAAGACCCTTTGTGCTTCTTTGCTCCCAGCTTTATTGGTGCTTCAGGATAATCACAAATCTTTGTCACTGTTTCTCAAGCATGTAATGTGTGACAAGGGGTTTTACTGGAACTAGGAGGATCTGTTTATGGGAAAGATAGTATATGCTAACCTGTGTGTTCTCCAAGTCCTACTAAACATAGCCTAGAGGACAGTGCATACATCTTTTAGGTCACAGGAAGGTTGTTTGGGCTAAGATTCCGGAAAGGCAACTCCCACAGCATTCCAGTGGCAGAGTGGTCGCACAGGCCTCGGCATTCCAAAGTCCTACACCCCTCTCCAAAACCTTCCCTTGCTCCCAGCGGCCTCTGTGTTACATTTTAGTAAGCCAGGTATTAGGGATGATTTCATGCTCTACATTAACCCCAACAGCTAGAGACTCTGTCATGAAGAGAATAATGAGAATGAGGAGTTATAAGAAGTGAGACAAGAATGCTGAGTGACGAAGATCACCAGTGGAAGCTGAAGATAATGAGCAGGGGGAATTAAGGTTAGGAAAAGTGGAGTGGAAGGCAAAGTAGTAGAGATGACTAGGGAAGTCGAATGGTCTAAGCAGCTTATTTATTTTTCCTATTTTCCTTGACACTCATAGTAGGAGCTGTTCTGTGAACATATTTACACTTATTAAAGATAATAATGCAAGATTTCTCCCTATTTTCTGGTTTCAGAAACTTGGAAGGGAAGTTTCACGGATTTTACTGATATCTTACCCCTTGGAATTTTCTATTGCATTAACTTACTCAATCTTTGGCTGTCTTGATTTGGTAAGTGTTTATCTACTCTGGCAAGTCAAGAGTTGCTGATTTCTAGCACATACACTCTATAAGGAGATGATACAATATGTTAAAATTCATGAAAATGGAATATGTCACAATATTTCCTTTATTTCTGTTATTTTTATTGTTTATAAAGTTACAAAAATAATACATGAAATTATAAAGTAAAATTATAGAGTAAAAATTATTGTCCCTCTTACTGTAGTCCTCATCATACCCACACATCCAAATCTAAACAAAAAGACACAAACACACACACAGACACACTATACACAGTTTTCTTGTTTACTAATTGTGTAATCATATTCATGTTGTTTGTCACATGATTTTTCCCAACTATCATAAACATCTTTTCATTATGAAACAAAACAATGCCTTTTAGTTGCATCATATTTTTCCTTAATATTTATTTTGACTTTTTTTCTTGCTGCATCTTTGGCTTTTTTTATTTTATTTTTTATTTTTTTATTATAAACAATGATCTTTACATGTAAGACTAGTATTTCTGTAGGTAGTTGATTCCTAGAAGTGTAATGACAAGTTTGATAACATCCCTAAATGCTATAATAATTCACAGTACCACAAAAGTTTATGAGAATGATTATTTTATACAAGCTTTAAATAAAACTAGATATCAGGGTGCCTGGGTAGCTCAATTGGTTAAGGCAACTTTTGATTTCCAATCAGGTCATGGTCTCAGGGTCATGAGATGGAAGCCTGCATAGGGCTCTGCACTACATGTGGAGCCTGCTTAAGATTCTGTCTCTCTTTCTCTGCTACTCTCCACCTCTCTCTTGCATGCTATGCTCTCTCTTTCTCTCTCAAGAAAAAGAAAAAAGAAACTAGATATCTACACATTCATTCTTTCACAAATATTTATGGAGGGCCTACTATTTCCTAGGCATTGTAATAGGCACTAAGGATGCAATCATTAACAAGACAACATCCCTGCCATCAGGAAGTTTTCTTTTCAGTAGAGGAAAAGGACAATTAACAAGTAAATATATATCTATCTATGTGTGTATAAATTATAATCAATGATGTTTACATGTAAGACTAGTAAATATTTGGATTGGATTAAAGTTCACCCTAATGATTTTATTATGACTTCATTACTGTTTTATAAAGACTCGATCTCCAAATAGAGTCAAATTCTGAGGCACTGGGAGTTAGGACTTTAACATATGAACTTTAGGGGGACACGGTAAAGCCCTTTACATAGTGTTTAAGCACAACCTCTGACTAGTCATTGGTGCCTACTTAAGCTGACCAGGGGAGAACCCCACTAAACGCGTCTTAAAAACAAAAACATCAGGGCACCTGGGTGGCTCAGTGGGTTAAAGCCTCTGTCTTCGGCTCTGGTCATGGTCCCAGGGTCCTGGGATTGAGCCCCGCATTGGGCTCTCTGCTCAGACTGCTTCCTCCTCTCTCTCTGCCTGCCTCTCTATTTGTGATCTCTGTAAAATAAATAAATAAAATCTTTAAAACAAAAACAAAAACCATGAATTTAAAAAAATGAAAAACATAAGTAAATATATCAAAGGCCACACACTGCAAGGGACACAGGCTCCACAAAATTAGTATAGGCAAGTCACAAAAGGCAGTTATAACAACCACTTTGGGGGAAAGATAAGAGAATCAGAATCCAGAGTCTCTACAATATCTTATCTAAAATATCCATTTTTCAACAACAAAAATAATGACATGCAAAGAACAGGAAATGGTAACATACACACTTAAAAAAACAGTAGCTACAGTTTTGGGGGGGAAGAGAATGACAAATGTTGGGCTTCACAAAGACTTCAAAGAACTAAAGAAAAAAGTGTTAAAAAATTAACATGTTAATTAACATTAAAAATAATGATTCCTCAAGAGTATGAATGTCTATTACCTTGATTCTGGTGATGGTATCATAGTGTTCATATATGTTTAAATTTGTTTAATTACACCCATTTAATACATAGTTATTTGTATAACAGTTATACCTCAATAAAGCTATTAATTTTTAATAAGTATTAATATAAATAAAAGAGATACTAATTATTAAAAAGAACCAAATGGAAATCCACTTTAGAAATACAGCTACTGAAATGAAAAACCCACCAGAGGGGCTGAGTAGCAGATTTGTGCTGACAGAAGACAAAATTAGTAAACATGATAGAATGATACAGATCATCCAATCTGAAGATCAGGAAATAAAAAGAAGAAGAATTAATAACACCTCAGAGATCTTTGGGATACCACCCAATACACCAACATATGCATAATGAGAATCCCAGAAAATGAGGGAACAGGAAAAATACTTGAAGAAATAATGGCCAAAATTTTCCTAAATTTGATGAAAAATATTCTGCATAAGTAAGAAACTCAATAACTTCCAATTAGAATAAGCACAAAGATACTCACTCCTAGACACCTGAGAACCAAACTGAACTAAGAAAGAGGGAAAATCTTAAAAGCAGCAGGAGAAGAATGATTTCTTATACAATAGAACCACAGTAAGATTAACAGATGACTTCTCATCAACAATAACAGAGACCTGAAGGCAATGACATGGCACATCAAAGTGTTGGAGGAAAACAGTCAAGCATGAATTCTGTATCTTTTAACCATTCAAACATGGAGGGCAAATAAAGACATACACAGATGAGCAGACAGAGAATGCATGGCTAGGAGAACACTAAAGGAAGTTTTTTAGTCTGAAAAGAAGTGGTATCTGATAGAACTCAAAAATACATGAAGAAATAACATCATTAAAGGTAATTATTGCAGATGACTATAAAAAATATATAAATATACCTTTTGTGCTTCTCTTAGCTGATTGAAAAAACAATTGCATAAATTGCATTGGGTCCACCCAGATAATCCAAAATTAACTCCTTATTTTAAAGTCATGTTATTACCAACCTTAATTCCATCTGTCACAACTACTCAGCTCTACCTTATAGCTTGAAAACAGCCATAGACAATATATAAATGAATAGATATGGCTTTGTTTCAATTGAACTTTACAAAACAGTTAGTGGACTCAATTGGGTCCATATTCCAGAGTTTGCCAACCCTTGTTCTATAGATATATATTGTTCCCTTTTTCCTCTGAAATTTTAAGAAATAAGTTTATAAAATTAAAAATTACAGCACTGTATTGTTGAGTACATAACATCTAGGTGTACTATACATGACAGTAATAGCACAAAGGAAGGTGGAAGGATTGAGCTACATGAGAATTAAGTTTCTATATTTTACTGGAATTAAAGTAGCAGGCACCTGAAGCAGTCTGTGATAAATTAAGATGCACATTCTAATTCCTAGACTAAGAACTAAAAACTAAGAACACTCAAAAAGTATAATAAGATAACAAAGAAATTAAGATAATATCTAGAAAGTAATAATAGGCAAAGGAGAAACATAAAAGACACAAGACCTATAGGAATTTAAAAGCAAGGGATTAGGCATAAATCCAGCCATTTCAATAATACTAAAATAAAACCACACTGAGATATTCATTTCCTAACAGAATGATTAAGTTTCAAAATACAATTCTAACTGATGATAATGCTGATGGATAAAAGAAATCTCTCACTCCTACATGGAATTTAAATTATTACAACAACTTCAAAAACTTTTGGGGCATTTTTATGGAAAGTTAAGATGTGCATACCTTATAAGTAATTTTAGTTTTTAGCATATACTCAAAAGAAATGTGTATGCATATGTATTAAGATACACTTCCAGGAAAATACCAATAGTATTCATAATAGTCCCAAAGTGGAAACGCTGCAAATGAGTGAATGGTGAGTATATTGAAGTATATAACTCTGTTAAATTCTGCATAGTAATTAGAATGAACTATACCTGTACTTACAATAAGGATGATTCTCACATACATAATGTTAAGTATAGACAGACCCAAAGAATGTGTACTTTTTAATTCCATTCAGATGACGTTTGAAACCAGGCAAAACTAATGCTCAGCTACAATGTTTACAGAGGGATGCAAGCTAGTGAAACTGGAAAGAAAAGAAAAGATTAATTACCTAAAAGTTAAAAAAAAAAAGTTACTTTTGGAAGGAAGAAATGGGTAATAACTGGGAAATATCATGACAGGGTAACTTTTGGGGTGCTGGCATCTGTTCATGTTCAAGAAGAATTTTTTGTTCTTGTTGTAGTTTGGAAGTATACCAAAAAGTCACAAGTGTCTGGGGTCCCTGTGTGGCTCAGTTGGTTGAGCATCCAACTGTTGATTTAAGGTCAGGTTGATCACAGGGTTTTGAGTTCAAGCCCCATGCTGGGCTCCACACTGGGTGTGGAGCCTACTTAAAAAAAAAAAAAAAACAAAAAAAAAACGTTTCAAATGTCTAGTAGGAATTAAGGGAGTAGTTTGAAGTACACTTGGGACACAAAGAGGACACATGGCACTTTAACATTTTATTCTGTAAACATCAGTACCATTTATTTTTTTAAAAAATTGAGTATTTGTTACATGTATGATCTTAGGAAGAATGATAAGATTTATAAGAAGTTAATTTTTTTTTCAGAGTCATCATCATGATGAAGATACTCTCACAGCTGTTTCAGAGGAAGCTGAGAGCACTTTTTAAAAACCTTAGAAATGTGAGATTTCTCCTGGTGCTCATACCTGACATGGGCCCTAATTATATCTCTGCATAACAAGGCTGCTACAAAGCCCACAGATTTTGTGCAAAGGAAAATACAAACAAGCTGGATTTTTCTTCTTGGTATTCAAGAAATTTCTCTGCACATATTTTTGTAGGCTCCAAGTAGAAAGCTTTTCCCTACTTAAATATATTATTACAAGGAGAAATTTATTTTCTAAGTACTCTGTACCTGTCAACTCTGTGTAACTCTAAATCTGTCAACTCTCCCTAATAGAGCTTTTGCAAAAGACCATTAAAAAAGATTTGTGATTGTCTCTAGAGGACAAGCAAAACGTCTCTAGAGTACAGGCAGTAAAGACTTGGAGCACAATACTGTGTAATTCCCAGGAAAACTTTAAATAATTTATGCCCCTACAAGTGAAGAGTACATTTCAGAATGAGTTCTTCTACCTGAACTAGCCTCTACCTGAACAAAGTACAAATCGAAAGTCATCCAACTCATAATCCTTTCATTGTTCTTCTTTGACTACTCCTCTCCTCATTAAAGTTCCTTTCTGCTCTGAAAGTCTCTACTGTCTTCCTTCCCTTTCATTTCCCTTGCTTATTACTTCTTACCATTGCTTGTACCATCTGTTCAATTGTCTTTCAAAGCAAACGAGTGGCTTTTCCATAATGAGAATTTCCCAAAAACCTGTTCTGAATTCAGATTCCACCTCTCGTCTAATAGGAAACAGAGTGCCAGAGAGCCTTGCTCAGCAATATTAATCATACCACTGAGTTCATCCATATCTTTTAAATGTGCTGCTGGGTTTTTTTTTTTTTTTTTTTTTTTAATTTTCTGCCTTGTCTCTCAATTGGTTTCATCAGTTGTTATCTAATACTACAAAAAATTTCATGGGTCTAAGAATTTCAGTGGTTAACTTACGTCTATCAGTTCAACACATATTGAGTGTCTTCCATTGTGCCAATGACTATATTAAAGTCAGGAGTATCAAAGATTAATGAGCATCCTCACCACAAAAAGTTTTTGTTTTAGGGGAAGAAACAAACAGGTAACAAATCAAGGCTACGCAGTGTGATACATATATTAACATAAGTGTGAAGAAAATTGAAGTGGCACAGAAGAGATAACAATCCTTTTGTTAGAAAATAAGAGGGAGAGGGAATAACGCTTTATGATGGATACAGCCTCTCAGCAGGGCATTAATTCTAGTTTACAAAGCAGACTGGAAGGTGGGAAAACAATTCAAATAAAATTAGCTCATGCAAAACCCAAAATGTGGGGAAAGTTCATAGTATATTCCAGTAGCTAAAATAAATATGTTCATTAAAACACAATGACAGGAAGGAATAGGTCAAGTGAAAATTGGAGAGGTAAGAAGCCATATGCTAAGTCAAATAATCAAATATTGATGGACTGATGACTGTATTGTACTGAACCATATCCTGCAGGTAATGGGAAGCCCTTGAGGAGTTTTTAAATAGGGAATGATAGGCTTGGATTTACTTTGAGGAAAAATTATTAATTAGGTGGAAATGCATTAGAAAGGATAAATTTGATAAGAACAGCTAGAGTGTAGGAGAGAGTAATGGATCACTGTTGCAATGAGTCAGACAAGCAATGAAAAAGAGGGTAAGTTTTAGCTGTGATGACTGAGCAGACATAACTATAAAAGGAAAAAAATAATTTTAACTCCCCAGTTCCTGGATTGAGTGATACCTACAGTGATATAAAATATAGAAGACATGGGAGGATTGAATGAACTGTGATAAGTTCTGTTTTGGATAAATTGAATTTGAGATAATTAGGAGACATTAAAGTAGAGCTATCTATTAGGCAGTTGAAATACTTACCTGGGGTTGAATAAAATACCTGGGGTTGAATAAAAATTAGCTATATGTTGATTGATTTTGGTGGTAAAGATGTAGAAATGAGCTTCCATTTTCAACAATTAAGAACTAGGTTCTTGGAAAGAACACAACAAAAGCAAGCCAGAATTTTAAAACAACATCTGTTGGAGGGTATCTGAGATCTAAGATTTAAGGGAGCTAGGATTTAAGGAGTCAAGATTCCAGAGTTGAAGACAAGATACAGTCCAGGCTTTCGACATAGCTTTTCTCCAAGATGCATTTCCTGAATCACAAACAGGAGCACTGGGTATTATACACAGTGAATCATGGAACATTACATCAAAAACTAATGATGTATATGGTCTGGTGACTAACATAATGTAACAAAAAAATATTTTAAAAGGTGAGAAGAGCTTCCAGTGTTCTTTTGGGTTGTAAAGACAACTAATCGGAGCCCAGGCTCACTGAAGTGTGAGAAGCTCATAAACACCTAAAATTTTCTGTTGTGTTCTCTCCAAGGGCTATATCCTAACAGTAAAGGTGAGAAAAAGTGGGCCTTCCCTCTCATAGACTGCTGCTTGGACCCAAATCAGCCAGGTTACAGATTGTAATAAAGTGAGCTTCTCCATATGTGATATTCTGCCAAAGTAAAAATTTCAAGAGGAAGATAGCGTCCTGAGCATAAAGACAGTTTTTCATACACAATGTCAGATTTCATCAAAACAAGAGTTTAAAGAAAAAAATTAACAGAAATCCAAGAGAAACCACAGGCACACAATAGATCCAAGTAACAGAATTATAAAACCTTAAATGACAAGATTTTAGCAGAGAAATGGAAATCTAAAGATGAATCAAATGGAAATGAGAAATCACATAAAATAAGATCTAAATATATAAATGTAACAGCTACTAGATATAACTGATGAAATCAGTGAGCTAAAAGATAAAATGGAAGGAAAAATCAGTCTTGAGCATTAAGAAAATGACAAAATGTAATGTGGAAGGAAAAGAATAAGATACAGATGGCCTTGAAAAGTTCTAATACCACATATTTGAAATTTCGTGAGAGTAGAGATTAAAAACAAGTAATACTCGAAGAGATTATGTCCTGGAAATTTAACCAAGTTGATTAAAAAAATAAATAATAGATTCAAGAAAGGTTATAATCCTAAACTAAGCAAATACATCACACATCATAGTGAAACTGCATGAAACTAGCCAGAGAGAATAGTCTTAACCAAAGAGGTAAAGGATCTGTACTCGGGGAACTACAGAACACTCATGAAAGAAATTGAAGAAGACACAAAAAGATGCAAGACCATTCCATGCTCTTGGATCAGAAGAATAAACATTGTTAAAATGTCTATACTACCTAGAGCAATCTATACTTTTAATGCCATTCCAATCAAAATTCCACTGGTATTTTTCAAAGAGCTGGAACAAATAATCCTAAAATTTGTATGGAATCAGAAGAGACCCCAAATCGCTAAGGAAATGTTGAAAAACAAAAATAAAACTGCGGACATCACATTACCTGATTTCAAGCTTTACTACAAAGCTGTGATCACCAAGACAGCATGGTACTGACATAAAAACAGACACATAGACCAGTAGAACAGAGTAGAGAGCCCAGATGTGGACCCTCAACTCTATGGTCAAATAATCTTCGACAAAACAGGAAAAAATACACTGTGGAAAAAAGACAGTCTCTTCAATAAATGGTGCTGGGAAAACTGGACAGGTATATGTAGAAGAATGAAACTCGAACATTCTCTTACACCGTACACAAAGATAAACTCAAAATGGATAAAAGACCTCAACGTGAGACAGGAATCCATCAGAATCCTAGAGGAGAACATAGGCAGTAACCTCTTTGATATCAGCCACAGCAACTTCTTTCAAGATATGTCTCCAAAGGCAAAGGAAACAAAAGCGAAAATGAACTTTTGGGACTTCATCAAAATCAAAAGCTTCTGCACAGCAAAGGAAACAGTCAAGAAAACAAAGAGGCAACCCACGGAATGGGAGAAGATATTTGCAAATGACAGTACAGACAAAAGGTTGACATCCAGGATATATAAATATCTATAAAGAACTCCTCAAACTCAACACACACAAAACAGACAATCATATCAAAAAATGAGCAGAAGATATGAACAGACACTTCTCCAATGAAGACATACATGAAAAAATGTTCATCATCACTAGCCATCAGGGAGATTCAAATTAAAACCACATTGAGATATCACTTTACACCAGTTAGAATGGCCAAAATTAGCAAGACAGGAAACAACATGTGTTGGAGGGGATGTGGAGAAAGGGAAACCCTCTTACACTGTTGGTGGGAATGCGAGTTGATGCAGCCACTTTGGAGAACAGTGTGGAGATTCCTCAAGAATTAAAAATAGAGCTTCCCTATGACCCTGCAATTGCACTACTGGGTATTTACCCCAAAGATACAGATGTAGTGAAAAGAAGGGCCATCTGTACCCCAATGTTTATAGTAGCAATGGCCATGGTCGCCAAACTGTGGAAAGAACCAAGATGCCCTTCAACGGACGAAAGGATAAGGAAGATGTGGTCCATATACACTGTGGAGTATTATGCCTCCATCAGAAAGGATGAATACCCAACTTTTGTAGCAACATGGACAGGACTGGAAGAGATTATGCTGAGTGAAATAAGTCAAGCAGAGAGAGTCAATTATCATATGGTTTCACTTATTTGTGGAGCATAACAAATAGCATGGAGGACAAGGGGAGAAGGAGAGGAGAAGGGAGTTGAGGGAAATTGGGAGGGGAGGTGAACCATGCGAGACTATGGACTCTGAAAACAATCTGAGGGTTTTGAAGAGGTGGGGGGTGGGAGGTTGGGGGAACCGGGTGGTGGGTATTGGAGAGGGCACGTATTGCATGGAGCACTGGGTGTGGTGCAAAAACCAAGGAATACTGTTACGCTGAAAATAAATTTTAAAAATTTTAAAAAAATACCAAAAAATGCATAAGACAATTAAAAAAAAAGTTGATGAGGAGAAAAGACATTTTACTTTGAAGGAACAGTGATAAAAGAAAATGGCAGCTGATTTGTTAACAAAAACAATAAATGCCAAAAGTCCTTAACACTGAACTGAATATGAAAAGTTCAGGAAGTGTTCTGAAGACAAAAGGGAAAGGATCCCACATGGAAACTTAAAGAAGGAAAAAAAAAATGGAACAGGATAAATATCTGAGTAAAGATAAATGAATGTGCCCATATAAATAATAACTTCTAGGCATACTAAAACATTTAGAAAAGAACTGAAACAGCACAAGACAGGTGATAAATGGAGCTAAAGTGTTGTAGGGTCCTTACCTTAAAGAACTGATTTATAACAGCCCTTAATAAGTTGAAATACGGTGCATGCTATAATCTCTAATCACTAAAAGA